AAAAAAAAAGAAAATGAATCGAAATATTCATTTATAATGAGTATAAAAAGATTTAAATAGGTTATTTTTTTTATCATTCTCTTCAAATAGCAGTAATACTTTATGATAATGATGCTATCATATTTGGTTTAACTAAAACTCGACTATATTGTTTTTTGGTAGCAACGTCCATAGCATATGGTAAATCAGATAAATCATATGTTGGTCCCATAAGTTCTTCATATGGATATTTATTAATTGTTTTATCAAGAAATTGAACAGCTTGATCAAGATGACGTGGTGCATAATTATGAATACCTAATTTATAGAGAATAATTATTTTAATTTGTTAAATTTTATTTTTATATCTACCTTTAATTGTCAAACATTTACGAACAATTTGTTCTCCAGTAATATTTAATTTCGAATGTGGATGAACCATACCAAGAAAAAGATATAATCCACCAGGTTTCAACATACGAAAACCATCATTAACAACATCAGGCATTCCACATACCTAAAACAACGATATATAGCATAAGTTTATTTATCCTGGAAATAAAAGCAGTTTCAGACGTAAATATAAAAAAAAGACCTACTTCAACAACAACATCAATCTTGTTTGCTTCTTCCACAAGTATTTCGTCTAGAAAAATATATGAATATAATAACTTATTTTAGAAAAATAAATATGACAGACGTGCATTTAATTTTAGCTAAATATATCCATGTAAGTGCTATTCTCTGTTTAAATAGATTTATAATTACAAAGCATTCTTTTTCGATATAGCAAGCTATGAGGTAAGTGCAAAAATTAAAGTAATCACAAGGGATAAAATATATATGACAAATATTTTTAATTTTAAAAAATTTTTTGTATCGTACTTTGCTTTTCTAAATGAAAAAAAAGCAAAAAAAAGAATAATAACCATAAATTAAAGAAAACATGCAAATGATTTTTCCATTTAAGCGTGTAAAAATCATATTGATCAGAAAAAATTAGGAAATGAAATTATTTACCATTATAAATTGGAATTGCACCAAAACGATCTATAAATTTTGAACGTTGAAGACGCATTCCAGAACAATAAACTGTTTCAAAACCATATTCACGAAGAGCAGCTGATGTATATAAACCAAGTATTCCATCACCCTTTTGTTTTCAAAAATAAAAATAATTTAGATTATGAAAATATAATCTTCATATCTTTGAATAGATTATAGAAGGATTAAGTCATTTTTCTGTAGATAGAAAAGCAGGATATATAATCTATAGTTTATTAAATATTGAGTTCGAACTATAACAATAGCTGAATAAAGGTCAGTATTTTTCTTAGCTTAAATGTCGATGCATACCAAAGAATTCTAATGAGAAAAAATGTTGACTTTTTGTTTCGATAGAAATTAGGTAAAAAATAAAATTATGCGCATGTTTCATTATATGTAATAGAATTTACATACTACACTACAGTGATAATCAATTATAAGCGTAAAAGAACTCTACATGATTTTAATTATCATCTGCTAGAGAAATGAGAAATTAAATTACTGTTAGAAATTAGAAATTATTAACTATGTTAATTACTATAACATGCACTTCATGTCAAATATGATACACATACGGAATATATTAAAAATATTTGCTTCTTTATATCTGTATGAACTGAAAATTTTCATTTTTATGAAAAAATTAACAAATAGAGTTTTGATGGTAAATGGAAAATAAATCTACCTGAACAAAAGCTCGTCCATTTTTTATTTTTGGTACATATTCCATAGCACACATTGTTGTTGCCAGTGAACAATTAATTGGTGCTGCACATCGATCTGATATAGTATCAGGTATTTTTACAACATGTGTTCCACGTCGAAGAATAATATGTGTTGCATAACATCCATTATATCCTGAACCATTATTTAATTCTGCATGACCATACTAGATAAAAAAATAATTAAATATATATTAATTTGTTTTCTTTTCATACTTTAAATAATTTAACACATTTTTGATTAAGTCCTTTCAAACAAAATTCACATTTGCCACAACAATCAGCTACAGAAAACGTTAAACGATCACCTATTGCTAAATCACTTTCAGGTCGACGATGAGCAACAACTTCAACAACTGCTTCATGACCAAGTACACTTAAAATACAATGAAATTATTTAAAATAATCTATGAAAAGTAAAATAAAATACCTTGGTGTCGGCTCAATACGATGACCTGTAATTGTATGTACATCACTCATACAGATCGATGCTAAACGAACCTTTAATTAATAATGAAAAATAATCGTTGATATACAAATAATTCGTATTTTACTTTCACAAGAATTTCTCCTGGACCGATTTCTGGTAAAAATCCAGTTTGAGCAGCAAACATTGTTTTAGAATCAATACCATTAAACACAGTACGTACGCCTGAGACTGGATATATATTTTTGTCATGGATTGCTCTTTCTTGTACCTGAGAGGAACTTAACGATCGACAAATCTATAAAGGTGTAGTTTTTAAATATAAGTAAAAATATTTATTTAGTTGTATTTACATGAGATTTTCTATGATTGAATAATCGAAAAAGAGTTCTGTACACCTTCATCGATTGTACTGAGACTGAGACTGAGTCTCAAAACAATATGAATGTACTCAATCAATTAGTCGATGCTATCAGCACAATATTAATATCACTTAAAAAACAAGCGTATTAAATAATTACTCGATAGAGGTCATTCTATGAACAATTTGATATATTTTAATGGTATATGTTTATAACGAATAGCAATTTGAGAGAAATAGATAAGACCATAGCACAATATATATCTCTACTTTGCTGTGGATTCTCTATAAAATAAGTAACAAAATGTAATTACAAACAATGATGGGACTCTAGAGACTAATGTACTTTTTATTTGTTTTCGAATTTTTTTTCAACAATATATGAAATCAATATGAGTAAGACTTTTGAAAGAGAACGGAGTACTAGTGGCAATCGAAAGTCTATCAAAATTCGTAAAAATTATTCTTGAAAAGTATATTTTCATTAGCGTAGGAAACTCATTCAATATCTTATGTTCATATCTTTTGATCCTTAACATCATGAAAATTGTTAAAAAAACTGGTGAAGACCGGTCGGATCGGTTCCAAATATGATGTGTATTCGTAGATGTTACCGAGAAATTGGTTTAGAAAAAAAACAAATGTACTTTCATCAATATTGGATCAAAAGACAAAAATAGACAAATGTACTTTTATCAATATGAGATCAAGAGACACAAAAGATAAATGTACTTTTATCAGTATCGGATCAAAAGACAAAAATAATGTGTGATTAATAGTAAATGACGTTACTCTTATACCTTTTCATTTTCGAAGAGAGACACAACATTTGTTATTGTAGAAAAGATTTATGACTCATGAGTGAATGTATGTGTCGTTGTTATTTTTTCAGGAAAATACTGCAATATATCTTAAAACAATTGCAAAACCTTAGTGGGCAGATAATATTTTTTTGTTCTTTAATTAATCAGCGAACAACTAAATATTCTAGTAATTAAAGAAGAATATCTATCAGAGTATTATAAAATTAATATTCCAAATTGTATGAAATCTTATTGATTAGAAATAATTATAACTTTGAAAAAGTGTTTTGAATGTCATCATGATAGATATTTCTAATTTATTTTCATTGAATTCATTGTTAATGGTAAATAAGGGTGTGGGTGTCGACGAAAGAGAAGATAGAAACACCCATGCCCATACCCTTCGTTAGAGGATGAATTCTTCTCAGGTTTTTCATATATCACTGAGGTCTTTCTATCGCTAAAAGATGAACTTTACAAGGCTTCAATACCTAAATATGTTCTCTCGTCAATAAATTCGTGCATACGTATGTTTTCTAAATAGATAATATTTTGAATATCTATGCTTTTCACTAACTACGATAGTTATTTTGCATCTCAAAAGTTTATTCTATAAGAGTTATACTTTGATCTCTTCTATGTTCACCTTAAAATTGTCTTTCACGGACAAACTTTCATATTAGAATATCTTCAAATAATAACATGCGTGTGAGATATGATATTAGAATATGTTCAAATAATAATATGAATGTAAGATATGAAAATAAGTTTGCTATCAATCATTGTTTATTACTAAACAACCATAAAGATCATGGAGTCACGTAAACTTTCTTGATTTATTATTATAGAAATAACTTAAATGAATACGATCGATCACTGTTTTTCTTTAAGTCAGTATTTATGAGAATAGTCATTCTATTCAAATTTTCAGAGTTGATCATGTTGTTTTCCATATTTCTACAGTATTCTTCATTTTATTCAGGTGAGCATTGTATTAAAATTCAATATAATAAAAGTGTGATAAAAGAAATCTAATTAGTGTACATATATGAAGAATCTTTCTACTAGTGTCACAAGTTTCCAGCATACGAAACAAAATATCATATCAATTGTAGTAAAGATTCTTTTTGATGGCGAAGAAACAACACTTTATTTTCTATTTGTCATTATAATATTGTTCACGGTTTATTTTTTGATCAGATATGTATCAAATGCGATATCATACTAATTCAAATCAGCGTCGCGTCATTCTAACATTTCCGACATAGGCCTTCAAGAAATTAAGAACAACGAATTCTAATTTTTTATACTGTCTCATCTTCTACTAAACTTACAACAGAAAAGGGTGTGGATATGGGTGTTCTTTTAATGATATCTGCAACCACACCCACACGGTCAAGATCCTCTATAGTCTATTAATCTCAGAGTTGATAGAACTCTTATATAGTAATGAGAAACTTCTTCCTTTGACCGGCAGTCCGATGTAACTGATTTCGAAAGAAGTTCTTCTGTCATATGTAACTTTACGTAGTTAGCTTTAGATTTTTTTAGAATTATTTGACTATTTTGTTACTCAGTCGTTGATAACATGTTTGTATAAAGAAAGTTTTCATTTTTAGAGTGAACTGTTCGTATTATTTCTGAAAGTACAAAAAACAAACACTACACCCATCAAAAGATTGATTGGTCAAGTTCATTCATTCTCGAAATGATGAATCCCAAAACTCTGTTTCAGTGGTTTCTTCAGAAAGGATCCAATTATAATCTCTTTATGCTCGGAGCAGATGACTATGACGACGATGATGATGATGATGAACCAAGAGATCCGGCAATTGTACTTAAATATCAAAAATATAAAACTCGATTATACATCCTTTTTCTTATGGGTACGTAGCAAACACGTTTTCATTTTTCAAATGCGCATTACTATCGAACAGAATGTATTGGATGATAATTCAATGCCGGCTTTTAATCGGTTCGAATGGTTTGGCGGATTCTTTTTTCGTTACAGAGATGAAATTGCAAAAATTTTCTAAAAAACAAAATCTCTTTTTTTTGACAGTTGATTTCGAAAATCAATGACTTTTAATTTTTCTTTAAAGTCTCTCACACAGCATACACATAAAACTAAGGTAAGTGAATGCAGAATTTCATCGATATAAGACATCAATAGTCAATCGTAGACAATATTCAACTATAAGAATTTGAACGATTTTTGTGTCTCTTTCTCTTTCATTTTTATTTTAGTGTCCTTCTATATTCTTTTCTATGCTACTTTGATGAAGACAGAATCTTCAACAGTTACTGTCTATGATATTACACCTGTCAAATTCGATGAACTTTACTCAAAATATAACAAAACTCTTTCATGTCCATGCTCAACAATCAGCATGCCTCATAAAACTTTTGTTTCCAATATAATCAAATTTCATCCTGTTTGTAAGAGTATTTTCGTGAATCAATCATGGATTGAAGCATTATATTTATTAAATGCAAGTGAATATGGAGTATGGGATTTTCGAACAACAGCTAGTTCTCAGGTGAGTAAATATTACTTTTCCAAAAAAACATTGCTTTAGATCAAAACTACATTTAATTAGAGTCTTATTTTTCGATAGATTCGAGAACAATTCTTTATAAGAGATTTTATCATTCTTGGTTTGAAATTGATTTGTATTTTATGAGGAGCAATAACGATGAAAAGTTAAAAAATGTGTCTGAAGAAGATTCAAAATCAATTTTCAATGATTCACATGTATTCAATCTGAAGATGGGTGTGGGTGTGTGTACGATTATTACAATACGTCCAGACCACACCCACACCCATCTACCCACACTCTCAAGAAAAATTTTAAAATATACAGTTTCGCAGAGCTTGGCAGGCTCTATCAAACCATATATAAATCGCGAAAAACAATTTTAGTCGATTTTTGCATTTGTTGCACCTTATAATCTTTTAGATATTAACTGATTGATTTTATTTCTATTTAGTTTGCACTTTTGTCTGATTTTTGTTCAATCACTGAAGACATGATTTCTGAGATTGAAAATGATGTTGGAAACAATGATTTTATTACCACTTATCTTCTTACTGACACACAAGTTCAATTCGAAGTGAATAGTGCCATTGAATCTTCAAAAAACAGTGCATCTACTCGAATAATTATGTTCTTGAACTATTTAAGAACAACTGTACGAGGAAACTTTTTAGTATCAGCTCTTAATACAAATTTAATAATTGAAATATACACCGATGATAGTGATGGGTTGGGTGCAGTTGCATTGTCAATAACATATTATTCTACAAGTGGATACGCTTTGTCCTGCAAGCAAGACAATCCAACTAGTGCAGCTACTCTCAATCCACTATTAAATGATTATATGACTAGTGAACGTCTACGGATATTTGAATCTATGCCAAATTCTACAATCGTCAGTGGTTTCTTTGCAGCATGTACTCCTCTCGAAGCTCTTATTCAAAGTACACTTGATTGCTTATATGAAATAGAGTGTCTGCAATTATTATCCGATTATTTTCCAGCTCTTAATCATGTACGTATAACACTCTTTTAACTTTCATACATATTCATGTTGTTTAGATGGGCGTTAACTGGAGCGACTCTGTTCTTACTTCGAAACAACGAAATCTTTCTGTGAACGACTATTTCAATAACCTTTTTATTGAAGAGTGGTTGCCAAAAATAAATTATTCAAAATATTTTAATGAATGTCATCCTTCAGTGTGTACATACACGGCAACAGGTCGAGCTGGCATCTTTTATGCAATTACTCTTTTCATTAGTCTCTATGGTGGTCTCGTGACAATACTTCGTTTGATTGCATCATTTTTAGTAAATGTCTCATTGAAATTCAGACATCGTTCGAGAAACACAAGCTTGCATTTTGGTAATTTTTTCGAATAAACTAAGCAAAAGTCTCATCGTAAGTATAATTTATATTTAATTTGTAGTGTGTCACAACATATCTCTACGTAAATTTTTTGGAGTAATGAAACGATTAAACTTGTTTAAGAACGTCAATCAACGAACAGAAAACAATATCAAAGAACAAAAAATTATCACACGTGTTTATTTAATTTTACTAACTGGTATAGTTACTTTTCCTATGTACATGTGAACTTAGATACTAAAATACTTAATAGTCTAACGCATATTATTAGATACTTAAATAATGAAAGATATTCATGAAATATCGCTGTTATTCAATATTTGAACATCTTAGTTGTCAATATTAATTAATGTAATATCTGACTTTCTGACTGAGATTCCGAAAATTAAATACAATTATCAAGTTCAGCACTACTGATTCTTCCACAAGATATTCTATAAAAGAGTTCTGATGTCTGAGTTGAGATCTATGTTGATGAACTTTTAAAATCTTTGATTTGTTTCTATTTATCACTTAGTAGTTAGACTTCTCATCGATTCATATCTTTTTATCATTTGTAAATTTCAGATTGCTTTCAATTGAAAAAAAATAGACTCGCTGTCGACAGACTAAGATTGTTGAGTGTTATTTGCAATCTGTCTATCGAAGATATGTCTATAATAACATATTTATTTCTTGATTTTTCTCATTAGGTTCAATTATTGTTCTTCTTCTGTTCACTTCATTGAGTACTCAAATAGATACAGTGACTATTCCAAATCCGTCATTAATTACGTATCAAAAGCTACAGATATTGCACTCAACTACACTCAATTGTCCTTGTACAACCAAGACAATCTCTTATCGTTCATTTGTTTCATTATCTCCAACATTGCATCAAGTGTGTTCAAGTGGTTTTGTTACTGATGATTGGCTTACATTATTACAAAGAAGTGCCACTAGCGAACATTCTGATGACTGGCGTAATCGAGCTGGAGCACAATTCCAATTGTTGTCTGACTTTTGTCGACTGGCTAATAAAATGATTGAGGATAGTGTTAATCGTTTTCTAAAGAAGTTCTTTATTGCTTCAACTGTATTTAATGAAATCGATTTCAATACACAATTAAATGTAACTCTCAGACAATTTTATAATTCGACGATTTTCGACTTTAGTCTTCAGAGCGACGTTGTACGTCTTTTATTGCAAGTCGATCAGTCTTATATGGGACCATCAGAAATTAGTGATCGTTTTTTTATTAGTAACCTAATCATAGTCAACATAGAAAATGAAAGTAACAATCAATCCTTACCACAGGTATGTTAATGTTTAGAATAATAAAATATTTTCTTTCTTTTTGAAAATAGTAGTATGTTAGCAAACTTCTATTGTCTCCGCAAAGAAACTAAAAAATATAGTTATGAAAGCCTGTTTTGTTTGTTGCTACTAACAAAAATAATCAAAACTGTGTATAATTATAAAGTACTAGTGTCATAAGAAAAAAACTGATTCATAATCCTATATGATATATTTATAAGGTAACCTTTAAAATTAGGGAAAAAGTGAGATAGTATTTATCTGATATTTTTTCAATATAAATATTCGAAAAAACATGTCGTTATACTTTTTCTCATTATATGCTAATTGTTTTTCAACATAAAATCGTCAATTAAGAAATGGTGCTACGTAAATACGATCCACGATTATACTTCGAAAAAATCAGTATAATTGTAAAAGCGATATTAAACGATGTTTCGAGCATGAGCATAAGCTTTAGTAAGTGACAATAGCAGAGCTTTGAGTGGACTTGGCTAGACTAATTCATCGTAGCGTCCACAGAACAAGTACTGGAGTGAGCACAACTCTTTTCAAGCTTACTTTTCGAAAATACATTCATTCATGCCTAAAAGAATAGAATAATATAACATTAGAGTATCAATACATGACAGATTTTATATAATCCCTATTGTGCTTTCCGAAAGCTGTCTCATACGAAAAGTATTCCTATGCATTTCCTTCTTATATAGTTTTTCAGTTTTACGATAGAATTATAGTTTTTCAAAACCAATTGATAGCAAAACGTAAATCTTTCTTTTTATTTCTAGGTATCATTTATTTTACCTAGTATTCCAGAAAGTAATTCGACAGTGCTTACCTGTGTTTGTTCAACTAATCCTCGTTGTCAAGCTTTAAACATCATTTATAGTCCTACATCCAATTATGGCATCTATGTCCCTTATGTAATACCATCTTCGATTAGAGGTTGTCTAAATAGTGATTCTCTGCTGCTCTCGACCTTACAATGTTTGTATGCAGATTCAGATTGTTTCCTAAATCTACTGAGTTACTTAACCAAGCTCTATATGCCGGATCAGTTAAGAATATCGTTACATCATATTAGTCCTTTAATCAATGATCCAACACGGAGTCGTTTCCCTCCAAATACTTTAGTTTCAACTATATTTAAAGAAATGATGGTGGAAGAATGGAATGTATCCTCGTCATATAAGGACTTTTACGAATCATGTGCACCGATCTATTGTACATATTCTGAAAAAATGCGTACAAATACTATTGTGGGAATAATTTTAACATTGATGTCTGTGATTGGTGGACTTATTGTCTCACTACGTCTTATCACACCGTATCTTGTTCAGTTCTTCTTTTACTTATGGGCAAAGACCAGCGAAAGACATCAGAACCAACAACAAGACGAACAAGGTAAATATTAATCTGATGTGTGTAAAAAATATTATAGAGCGAATGTATTTATACAATAACGATTTTCATCTAATGCAATTTATATAATATGAGAAGAAAGATAAGAAGAATTCATATGCGATCTTAGCGGATACTTTGTAAATGATAGTCAAAACTAGCAATTACAATATTTGAAAGCGGACTTGGCAAATTTCATTAATATTTAAATCTATGTCACATCTATTCATTAATCTTCAGCTGTGTCGATGACCTAATAATTAAGAATCCAAGAAGTTCAAGAGTCATGTCACAAGAAGAAATCTAGTAATTTGAGGGAATTCAGAGATTTCATAACTTAAGCCATTTAAAAAAGCGTCCATATAGAGGAGTATGAAATTTATTCAAATCAAACATATATAAAATTTGATTAAATCAAAGACAAACATAGTAGGCGTAAGTATTAGTTTTGGTAAAGAGTTGAAGAAGGACTCAATTTATATGCTCATCTCTAAAAGTGACACTCATCTTCCAGAGAGACAGGTCATCTTCGCCCACACTTGCATACCCTGTTTCTCATCGACCTCCAACCACCATAAAAAATGTATAACTTTTTTTGTGTATAGTTCATGGAAACTGGTGCGATCGATTCAAAATGACTATGAGAAATGTGATCAAACTTTTGCATAGCACTCTCATCAATCTAAACATATTTTCGTTGAGTGATATTGGTAGTACTCTTGATCCGATAAAAGCTAAACGTCTTGGTCAATGGGCAACTCGTCTGTACATTGCTTTATTCATCGGTGGTCTTAGTATTCTCACTGTATATAACCTAATTCAACCACAAATGATGACGAAAACGTTTAATAAACCGCCTTTCAATGTTTACAAGAATCTGAAAAAGCTTTATGGCGACGAATTAAAATGTCCATGTTCAGTAATTGCAACGGTATATAGCCAATTTATAGAAATTGAGCCAACATTTCATAAGGTATGATAACATAATAATGATCTGCTTAAAACGAAAGATGAGTACAAAATAATATTCATATTTTTCTCTACCATACTTTCATTAATTATTTTCTAAGATCATCACATACCGTCCGAAAAATATAGTTAGTATAAGCTTTAATTCGACAATACTATTTCGGCGTAACTACTAAGAACAACACGCACTAGAACACTTTTCCAGAATTCTCTAGCAAAAGCAATGCTGTCGAATGACATTAATAACAAAGGATATACTATTCTATAAGGATGACTAAAAGTAAGTTCTTACCCATCCACTTGCATCTTTATTTAACCATTATATCACAATTGTCATTCTATGTTTTCCAAGTGTCTTTCCCTAACACGAATGCTAAGTCGATATCCATAATTGAATCATCTGAAGAGTAAAAAATGACTCAACTTAGACAATTAGTCAAACTAAAATCTAAATCTAAAAGCTTCTCTCAATACACAAAACATAAAGAAAAACGATTTCCATATTAGATTGTACATGTATCACTAACAAAGAAGTTACTATAACGAAAAGAAAAATTTTTAGAAGTCAAAAAATCGGACAAAACACTTATCAAAACATATGATCTTAATCTTCAGTGTTTTCGAAAAGACTTTATCATTCATTAACAAAAATGCATAATATCTATTGAAAATAAAAAGCTGTCTATTTTATCATAGTATTGTTGTAAAAACGTCGAATGTTATTTCAGAATAGCATCTTTCCTTTTTCTTGTTCTTATTATTTTAAGATCTGCTCGAGTCCATTCGCATCGGAGGAATGGCGAATTGGTCTTACAGCTGGTCTTGTTTCTAATTTGTCTATTTATGCACGAAAAGACTATCGTCGTTTTCTTTCCCCTCATTTACAATTTCTTCAAGGATTATGCCAATTTTCCATGAATGCAACATACAATTCAGTCAATCAATTTCTTACCTCATTACTTGTCACTTCTGAACTTCTTTCAGAAACAAATTTTCATCAAAAGCTTGAATTGTTGATCGAACAGAGTAAATCGAATGCTCCTACAACCTTCCGTCAACTTCTCTTCTTAATTCGAACTATCAATCATGGAAATGCTTTCATGTCAACATATGGAACAAATTTCGAATACATTGTACCCAAAGATAGATCTTATGAATCTTATGCACCAACTCGAGCGCTAATCTATGATGATGCATGTTCTTGTGGATTATGCTCAAATTGTACAACTCAAGCAAGTTTTATGACATTCAATTCTTCTGGAATAATTCCAATAAAAGGTTTAAAAATAGGATGTACACCAAGTGAGTCATTTCGTGCTTCGACTCTTGAATGTTTCTATAATAGCTCATGTATTAATCTCATTCATGAATATACTAATTACAACAATTCTCATGATCCTCTCTCTGTAAACAAGAGTCGTTTCTCGATTAACACTACCATGACTGAACTTGTCGATAATCTATTTATTGAACAATGGTCAAATAAGACGAATTATACATCTTATTTTCAGCAATGCTTACCATCATATTGTTTCTATACCAGCACCCAAAAATCCACCTTACTCGAAATAATCACTCTTTTACTTAGTCTTCAAGGTGGTTTCTCATTCATTCTTAAATGGATATGTCCTAAAATAGTTCGAATTGCATCAAAAATAAATGACTATCGAAAAAAGCGAAGGAATATTGTTCGTCCTGATTGTGTTCTTGAAAACACATCCATTGGCAATGTTATTACTAATGTAGAGATAAGCTCAACGCCTGAAACGTCTCAGTATGTCTTTTTTTTAAATTTTATTTGATTTGTAATATAGATTATCTCTTTATTAGGACAATAGTCGTTAGATCAGTTCGATGTACTTCCAAGGTCTTCTATGGATGTATACTACTGACTTGTGTACTAACCGCTTTGATTATTTTTTCATTTTACACCGTACGACAAGGTAAGAATAGAATTGCCAAAGCAAGTACAAATGTTTTAATAATAGATCACATTATATCCATTCCAAAACTTCAAATGAATTGAATTCAGAAAGCCAAAGTTGATCTGGATAGTTTTCCGATGCAAGGAAAGGGAATGTAGAATATTTTCAATTTTATTGTTGAGTAGCAATATCTTTGCTTGAATAATTTTCTCAAGCACTCTGAAGACTTAGGGGAAACAGGTAGTCTACTATGTATTGACGAGTCTATAAGGGACAACAAAAATGAGTTTAAGAGACTGAATTCTATTAGGAATTTCTTTTCAATGCACTGCATGGTAGCTTAATATGGGGTGTGGGGTGTATTTAAAAATGTTTGTGCTAGCCAATTTGAAAAAAAATGAATCGAGTTAATGATACAAACGAGACGGCTTTCACTAAACCGCAGAAAAACAGTTCACATCTAATAACTAAGTATCTTTTAATATTATTTTGATACAATATATATTTATCAATGTATGTTTCAAGAAGTTCCTAGTTCTGATCGTTTTAAGATATAGTGTCCTTATATTTATTTTTCATAATAAACCATTCTATTTGTGATCTTGATATTTAAGCCTAATCAATTGTTTAACAGAATATTTATTAAATATGTTTTTACTAGCTTTCTCGATCAACATGACAAATAATACTAATTTGAACTCAACAACAAACACAACAATGTCAACATTTTCAAGCACAGCAAGTCCGTAACTTAAACTAAAAAATTAATATGCGCTACTTCTTATACTATCACTGTTAAGATAAATTCTTCTAGTTAGATTTATTCGTTGCTTAGTAATATAACAATACCGTCTCGTCCTTATTTCACTGATTAGAAGTATTTTTACAACACTGCAGAATCTGAGAATCATCTGTTGAGATCGAGTATCTTGATCATTCGCGACTCATTTTATCGGGCTGTTTTTCTAAAACTTGTAGAAAACATCATTTCTTCAGCAAACATACTTTATAAATTGAAAACTTGATTTATTTTCTGCGAATTTTTGGAAAAATGATCTAATGAAGTGAGACGCCATCGACCAAGATACGACGTTATAGCAAAGATGTTCAATAGTACTATGTTTTAGGCCTTAACAAAAGCAACTAAAACGTTGATATCTGAGATACTATACATGTCACTAAATAATAGAATGCATTTAAGGTCTATTTTAGAGGAAGAGGACACTTTAATATATTCTATCGTAAATACATAAGGTCTGATGTAGTTTTAGCTTGCATTAATCTCTTCTCATATGCTTGTAGTTCGAGAATACGGAAGAATAATTATTTATTTTCTTTTTATTAGCACCAATTTGCAAATCAAAATTTCGGTCGATATCGATGAACACATCTAATTTTGGTCTTGTTTCACCCGCATTTGTTTTTGCTGATTTTAACAATGATAATCGACTTGATCTTGTGATTTATTCTGCATTCCGCAATACTTTTAATCTGCTAGTTGGCAATGGTGATGGAGGTTTTGGAGCAGAGAATATTTTTTCAATAAAAAATTTTAGTTTCTTGGCTCATATTGGTGTTGGTGACTTCAATAACGATAACCGATCTGATCTCGTTTTGACCAGTAGAACCCATCTTGGTATTCTCGTAGGAAATGGCAATGGAACGTTTGGAGGATTGAATACACTGTCGCTGGGAGCGAAATGTACGCTAGAGGACATCACTGTAGCCAATTTCAATCATGACAATTACTCAGATATCGCTGTCGTTAGTATGAGGAATAATAATATTTGTGTATTTCTTGGAAAGGGCAACGGCACTCTTTCATTGCCATTTATGTTTTCTACTGGACATAATAGTGAGCCTCGATCATTAAATGTCGGTGATTTTAACAGTGATGGTCACTTAGATATTGCTGTAACTAATAATAATGCTGTGAATGTTGGTGTATTTATTGGATGCGGTAACGGAACTTTTGAAGTACAGAAACAATCTTTTACCATCATTGGTTCTAATCCGATTAATCTAGCAGTCGGTGATTTTGATGGTGACACTCATCCAGATATTGTTACCTCTAATGATGATGAGAACATTATTTGTATCTTATCTGGATATAGTAATGGGATTTTTGATGTCAGACAAAAGTTTTTTATAAAATCTGTTTCGACAACACCTTCGGTTGCTGTAGGTGACTTTAACTGTGATGGCCATTTAGACATCGTTGTTGGAACGACTGATCCATATAGCATAGATGTACTACTCGGATATGGAGATGTTCATTTTGATACGCAAACAATATTTTCGACTCAGCTGGAGTATAGAGACATTAAGGTCGTTGTTCATGATTTTAATGGTGATACTTATCAAGATCTAGCTGTTATGTATCTTCACACTAATACTATAGATATTCGTCTAAACATATGCGAATGTTGCCCACGCGAAATTCTCAAGAAAAACAACTCCAGTCTCCAATAATTCTACATAACACAAATCAATCAGTAAAAGTTTTGTTTCTAAGAGAAGTATCATATATAGTTTAATCTTCTCTCAAAGTAGTGTGATTGAAACTTCTTTTCATTTTTCTTTTGACGAAATATTAAAGAGAAACCACATCATGATAAGACGACATATACTTTTATTTTTATGTTCTTAATCGTTTGCTTACTTCTTTGGTATACCTTATCTTTTATTCTATTGCTTATTTGTAAATATCGCAAATATAATAAAAACAATATTCCCACTCACACCCACACTCACCCTCAAAATTGTTTTCATGTTTCCACCAATGACCCAGGTGTAACGGAACGATGACTCGTTCGTACTTTATTAAATGAAAAGAAGAATGAACGCCCACGAATATGAATACACAAGTATATATACGAGGGTAACAATGAACTAATGTCTATCTCTAACGATGCGAAACGGTCAAACGAGAGAGAAAGAAAGGTTAAACAATAGATGCGATATGATCTGTTGATCATATCAAAGAGGTAGTGATGGATGAGATCCGTCACACCAGGTCGAACAATTCGGCACGGAAACGGCTGATTCCGTGGTATTCCGGAGATTTCATGGAAGCAGTATTCCTGTTGAACCGATTCGGTAACCATCTCCCTGGGTGAATAATTGTACAGTCAAATTTTCTGTCTTGAATAAGTTATTTGCATGTTTATAAAAGTATCCATGAATTTCGCCTGGTGAATCTTCAAAATCGTTTTCATGTTTCCACCAATGATAAGCCATAGACAGAAAACTTGTCCATTGTGATCTAATAGCAGGATCAAGTGCATTTACTGCATTGAGTTTTTCATTGTAAATGGTGCGAAAAGCAACGTTAAGGTATGTTGACTGCTCTGGTCCTTTGAGACTTAACGAAAAAGAATTAGTTTCAAAGTATGAACAAATATGAGTTAATAGTACCATATTTGTAGTAATAGCTTCCGTAATGGAGACAATGTCTTAAGCTGTATTGACTTTTCCAGCAAAATTAAGATCATTAACAATTTTGACTGCAGCAGTCACTGTATCTTTGTCATCTACTTTATACTCTGTCAAAATATGATTCATTCTGTCATAGTCTCCAATCTTCATATTGCCAATTATCTTCTGACCGTTGACAGTTATATCTTCGGTATCTAGTCGTTCATAAATGTGTTGCAATCTGCTTTTGGCTTGATCAACATCGATACGATAGCATAGACGTTCATTTTGACTATTGGTAAATGTGTTTATCTCATTTTTGTACACGTTGAACGAATGTGGTCCTTGCTACAACAACTGAAGCAACTCTTCCGATCATCTTTTGTTTTCTTTGTACTTCCTGCTTGAATGTTATTGATAAAATTATCTTCCGAAGTATTTCGTTCAACATTTGTTCCTTGAATCAATACAGAATGAATTGTATTCACAATATTAAGAGTTTGTTCATAGAAAACCGCTGGAAATTAACATGTTGTTGCTTTATTTCGAAGAACATTTGCATAATCAGTTAATGTTTGTGCAGATTCTTGACGTAAAGCAAAGAATTTAACGCGTTTCTTTGAAGGAAAAGTAACTTTTGCATAATTTGTACCAAGTTTGGTGATTAAGTCCAAATAAGTACATTCCGTAGGTTTGTTTGGTTTGCAGATCGAAATCAATGTTTTAAATGGTTGAACATCTAATGAAGTGATAAGCAAGTTTGTTTTCTTGGAATCATCAATAATACCCTCCACAGCTAAAAATGTGTCGAATAAAGTTAGATCAAACTTGAATACCAGATTACTTGTTTGATTTGTAGCCATCATCTCATGCTCGCCGTTAATTGTCACGTCCTGACTCAGGAGGGTCGAATGATACTTTATTGACGAATAAACTACTTCACACACGTCTATATATATGACAGAATATGCGTGGAATACGGAATAGGTTGAAACTCGCAGGAAACATACCGTTTCTGGCCGAAACTAGTTGGAAAATGTCAGAAATTCGATGAGCGTATCCGGCTGCCATTTTTCTCTTAGTTTCATCCGGAACTGGATAAATTCTATGATCAGATTGGTTCACCGGAATACTGCTTCCATGAAATCTCCAAAACTGTCTGAAACCGACCGTTTCCGAGCCGGATTGTTCGATCTGCGTTGAGAATAATATGTAGATCAATAAGAATATCATTGCCACTGCATATAATACATGTCTTTTAGAAATAGCTCGTTCTTCTCTGTTAATCTATTTTTCACGATATACTGTTCTTCTCTTTTAATGCTTTTTAGAAAGTTTAATATTTGATAGAAAACTGAGTCAACATGTAGAACAAAAACTTTAATAAGTAGAATAAAAAATCGTTGCTAAGAATGTGGTGGGTGTGGGTGTGAGCGTCATATTCGTCTCTCAATTGATATTCACACCTGCACTCACACGCACACTTTCAAAAATAATCCACATCAAGAAACAAATAACGTCTTATTGTCAAAGATTCAATATTACATTGGCAGCATTTGAATTCAGTCGAGTTGCATTATTGTGATGAATATCGATGATTATCTAGCAAAAGTAGAAAAAAAAATCATATTTATATATTGTCCAAACATTTTCGCCTTAAGTTAAAATAGATTGTATATACTGGTGAATTTCTCATGCTTGGTCATTTTTATACACATCGAAAGTAATGTCAGAACCAGGACTTATTATACTATCTATTGTTTGGCTTGATATTTCCATTATGAATAAGACTTTTTGAGACGAAAATTTTTTTCAAGAGAATGAACTCTGAGAAGAAAAGAAAGATCTCTTGGCCGAAGTTACCCTTCACCTTGTAGTATTGTATGAAAAATTGATATGTTATAGTGGAAATCTGCTGTGAAATCGTATTTCTTAGTTGGATTTGGTCTCATACTAGTTCGTTTCAATCAACTAATCTCATAGGATTCAATAGTATCATGTGGTATCCAATCTAACACTGTATTATTTAAATCATATCGTTTTTTATCAAAAAACTTGACAAAATCAGCTCCAGCAATTTCGTCATCGCTGGCGTAGATTGAAGTTTTTTAAATGAGAAAATGATGGATTATGTCTTTACTCTTACAAGAATACATAACTACAAAATAGTGCGAAATGTTTTGTCAAACTAGGGATGTGGGTATCGAAGAAGAAGAGAAACCCACACACATACACATCGAAAATGATATGATAAGATTCAATAGGAAGACGAATTGATTTTGAGGAATAATATGACTTACCATCTTTAGGCTCGATCGAACTATAGTGACTTCTTTGTATTTCCATGTACAGCTTATGGGTGATCGTATCGAGTATTTTTGCGATTCTTCATCAATGACTTCCTCAATTCGCGTGATCCTTATGTTGCGTAACACAGCAAATATAATAACAGGACCAAACAATAAAATTACAACTCCAAAAACCAAATACGAAGACGGTGTTAGAAAAACCAGCAAAAGAGTTCCAATAACTGGAACAACAGTAAATAGAAAACAAATACTAATATAATAACCTGTCGGTGGCTTGGCTACACGATTTATATTAGAGATAGATTCTTGATATTCATCTTCACTAATAATACCATTTAAACGATCAGGATAGTCTGTTCGAAACTGGCAGCATGCTTCCACTATAGCGACTGTGTCAGGATTATCAGGTATATAAGCCATTTTCGATAGAGATCAAAACCAAAATTGTGTCATTAATAACTATAAAGTATCTAAATTAGAGATAGCCATTGTCAAAAACTTCAATCACATCAACATGATCAACAAAGATTTTAGACTGTATTTAATATTTTTAACAACAAAATCTAGTATAAATGCTTACGTAAAATATTGGACACTGTTTTCTTTGATAGAAAAGTAAAAGATCTGTCTCATAATAGTAACAGAAAATACTACTGAAAGATAATAAAATTTTTTAGAAAAAGCCATTCCGATCGTTTTACCGTGTTAGAGTTGCGATAAAGAAAAAGACTATGAAGATCAAGCGAGCAATGTGATTTGTTATTGTGATGACTTTATCACTAAATAATCTAATATAATATCTCCTTTTTCTTTCCTCCTCTACTTCCGTATCAATATAATATAAGAAAGAATAAATCCATGACTTCACCATCAACTGTATAGCTTGGTTTCTGTTCTATGTACCACAAGAATATTTTTCCTTCAACAAGAAATAGAATGGGAAAAAAAGCAGAAGAGTAAATATGTAGTTCTCCCTCTGCATTGGTTATATCAATAGAAATCAGTACCAATCAGACTAGTCAGCAACACATCTATTTTCTTGTTGTTGGGTGCGCCTTTTGACTCTTTATAAAACTATATAGAGTTTTCTTTTGGTGTCAAAAATTCCATAAATACAAAATAAAATCGTAGTCAATAGGTTTTGACATACTGATTCTTTTAAACAAAGCCATAAGAATGGACGAAGTATTACACGACATTATTAAAAAGTTACAAAAACTTTTATTTTAATTAATTCATTTCAAAAAGTAAAATTTTCAGCAAATAATATGCGGAATGACTTTATGGATCGATTCTCCAAATATTGTAATTGCAAAATTTTACTTCGAAGATTAATAAATTTCAGATATAAGAAGATAAAAAAACTGTCACTTTTAATATCCGTCATATTTGATAAAGTAAAGCTCAAAAAAGAATTCTATAAGCATGCATATACATCACTACCGCTTATTTTTATTTTAGAGCAACATTCATTCTATTTTTGATAAGTTAAGAATTACTTAGCATGTCTGTAAGTACAATAAATAATATTCAACTACAATTAGGTCGTTTTGGTATACCGATATTGCTTACGCTTGGTAATGTTGGTAACTTATTTACAGCATGGATATTGATACGTACTGTGAAACAACGAGCTAATCCATGTGCACTCTATTTACTTTGTGCATCACTTGCCAATTGGATGATCATTAACACTCTACTTGTTGGAACCTATTATGGTATTGATCATATTGAACCTGTACACAAGTCAAATATTTTATGTAAATTAAGATGGTATGGAGGATATGTCTTGTTTATAGCATCACGAAACTTCAGTAAGTTGAATAACTCATCTTTGATTTCAATCTGATTTGTTTAAAATATTTTTATTTTAGTGATCGCTGCATGTGTTGATCGATGGGCACTTTGTTCGCAGAATCCAAAGATTCGATCATTTTCTCAATCAAAAATAGCTCATCGTGTTACTTTTATCATTATCATAAGTTCGGCACTAATGAATCTTTGTTTTTTTTTCTTTTTCGACAATAGTTCAGGTCGATGTGCTACTAATCCATTGTATACTTTAGCTTTTACAAGTTATTCCCTGACGTTCATTGGAATTCTTCCTTCATCATTAATGATTTTATTTGGCTTTCTTGCTCGATACAATTTAACAAAGATTCGATTACGTGTACAACCTGTTGATGGAGATAGAGCTCGTGGTATTCAAATACATAAACGTGATCATGACTTGATGAAAATGTTATTTGGTGAGGTATTGGTATTTTGTGTAACGACATGTCCATTTCCATGCAGTTTATTATACAATTATTTAACAGCTTCAATTACGTCAAGTAAAACTCCAATACGAATAGCTATTGAATCACTTATCAACTTTATTATTCAACCTTTATTAACCTTTACTTATTGTTGTACACAATTTTACGGTATGTTTTATGACAACATGAATTTTTTATTGGATAAGATATTATAATGATTGTTTTTCTATCTTTAGTATATGCAATTTTTTCTGGCAAATTCCGAAAAGATTTTTTGGAAATAGTTCATCTGAAACGAGCAAATCGCGTCAATCAAGTAACAACCGTTCAAACAGTTACTCATAGAGAAAGACAGTGAAATATTGTAAACCTGCGTTGCAAGTTTATCTTTGTCGCTTTCTATATAGATCTAAATAAAAGTCAATTTACAAATAGTTAGATGATGACAATCAACAAAAACTACGCACTCAGTAAAACAAACAAGAGAGGCGTAAAAAAATGAATCATATCGATATTAAAAGATGTCATCGTCATCAATCAAACTTGTAAATACGTCAGATCTCATTTGTCACATGCTATTAGTAATCTACTTATTATTTTTTTTTTGTTTCAGCAAAAATGACAGATAAAGTTGACAGGTGAGATAAACATCATCATCATCATCATCATGTGCAATATCATGAAGATGAAGTTCATTGTAGGTTGTTTTTTTTGATAAATGATTTATTTTATATAATATGAAAATTTTCGGTCTTCGACATTATAAAACCTGATCAATGATTCTCAATTTTCGCTATCAATTTTTTTAAGATTAGTTCTTTTTCATAAAAAATTGAACGGAGGAATTTTTTAATGAAAAGGTCAAAAGAACATAAAAAATATTGATCATTTCTCAAATTGATCAGATTTTTATTCAAGGTGAAATATTTTATGTCGTTAAATTTTGGTGTATACTTATTCAGATTGAAAATAAATTATGTGTAAATATTTTTCTCATCATTAATGATGAATATAATATTTTTTGCACGTGTTGTATTACGTTCTTTTGATACCTTTTTCTTTTACAAAATCAGTCAATTAATAACGATGAAATACAATGTTATGTGATGAGTAAAAACAAATCTTGAGGGTGTGAGTGTGGGTAGCATATTTACACATCAACTCTATCGACACCCTCAATTACAAACAATCATATTTGAATTATGAAATAAAGTTTCTGTGGTCTTATGAGAATGGACCGAATAAGGTTAAAGTGATTCATAAACATTGATTAAAACAATAAGCGTTACATAACTATAATTTCTACAGATTGAGAGTTATTAGAAGCAAAAACAGAAGGTTAGTATTAAGAGAAATGTAGAATAAGCTTGAGCAAAAGTTGGATATAAATAAAATAATTTCAGTTATGTCTTCTGGGCGATCCTTTACGTCACATATTATTCCATAACTCCAGTAACAACACCAACACCAATGAGTCGTCCTTGTTCAAATATGCTGAAATGTACACCATCGTTTATAGCGATCGGAGAAGTGAATGTGATAACAACTGTTAAATGATCACCAGGATAAAATTCTTCAACATCATCTGGCAATTCGATTGTGCCTATGACTTCAGCAGTACGAAGGTAGATTTGAGCTTGATGACCTGTAGAAAATGCAGTCTGACGATTATCTTCCTCTTCACGAAGTATATACATTGATGTAAAAAATGCAAAATGAATAATCTCATGTTGTCAACTGATGTTATCGTTTTTTTAGAGGTACAAAAAAGTAAGTCAGATAAAGGTAATAAAGCAAATATCTTTTTTTTGTATTTATCTTTCTAAATATGACTAATTTTATGACATATATATATGAATGAAAGGAAAGCAAATTCAGTACAAAATATGCTTTGGCTGTTCTTTATTATTGCTTTAATCAAAGCAGATTCAACAGAATTTCAATGTCCTCCTACAACTGCATCAATAGAACATCTTCTCGATCAAGCAGATATTCCGGGTGCTTCAATTATTGTTCTTAATCGAGATGAAATTCTATATGAAAAAGGAATTGGTTATCATTCTCCTCCATTATCCGAAGGACGTCAAATAATGAATGCTTCATCGTCAATATTCGTATTAGCATCAATTTCCAAAACATTTATTGCTGTTGCTGCTATGCAATTGGTTGAATTGAATCTTCTTGATCTTGATGAAGATATTAATAAATATCTATCACCTCGTATGAAAATTATTCATCCATATTATCCAAATGTTATTATTACAACAAGACATTTACTTACACATACAGCTGGAATTGGAATAAATCTTGAAGAAGAATATAAACTTTATCTTCCTGGTGATGATTTTACAAAAACAAATCTTGGTGATGTTATTGAAAAATATTTAAGTTATAATGCTAGTTGGTTACCTATAACACCTGGTCATAATATAACATCTTATTCAAATGTTGGAGCATGTTTAGCTGCATTTATTGTTGAACGTTTAGCAAATACATCATTTGAAGAATATGTTCAAGAAAAAATCTTAAAAATATTAGATATTGATAGAGAAAATGCTGGTTATCGATTAAGTAATTTTCAAAATAAAAAACAAAATCTTGTTGGTCACTATGTTTATAATGCATCATGGCTTGAATCATTTCAATATTTGGTACCACAATTAAATGTTTCTCGAGTTGATAATGTTTCTGATTGGTTATATGTTCCTTTTTATGGTATTAGTAGATATCCAGCTGGTTATTTACGAATGTCAGCTTATTCATTGAGTCGATTTTTTCAATCATTTCTTAATAATTTCACAACACTTTTACATAATTTATTTTCCATTGAAGAAATTATTCATGTTACACCACAAACAAGTTATTGGAATATGACAGGCAGTGAATATGGTCTTCTGTGGTATTGGAAAACTATAGGTGGACGACGTCTAATTGGACATGAAGGATCAGTAATTGGTATAACAACTATAATGATGGCAAATGAAAAAAGAAATCTAGGTGTCATCATACTAACAAATGGAGATACAGTGAGAGAGGATTCTCAATCAGAGCAAGTTCAAAATACAATAAATATTTTGACAAAAGAACTATTTGACTGTTTTGAAAAGTCAACAAACAAAGGTTCTACGTATCGATCATTTAACTTTATTTTTATCTATGGAATTATTAGTATTATATTTCGGTTTTTTATTATAATCTAATAAAATAAAGTAATTAAAGTTATTCTTTCAAAGTGATACTATGAAATTCACCACAGCTCAAGGAGATAAGAATTTCTAGAAATATTAATCGGCCACACAATCATGGTGTGGGTGCGGGCGTAGATGTGAGACTACAGTACCCTACTCACACCCACACCCACCCACTCTAAACAAGAGGTTTTAGGAGAAACGTTTACATCAATTTGGAGCTATTCTCTTTATTATTTATTACTCTTATTTTTTGATATTTTTACTTATTTAAAAAAAAAATGTTTTGAGCCATAGTTTTCTTTTTTATCTTTCAATGAAATGATCTTCTTCTCTGGTATTGTTTCATTTTTTCGTTTTATTTTTCTTTAGAGGTGTTTGATATTTCATACTATGCTAATAGATGAAACAGTACACAACGCAAATAAAACACAATATACTATAATTCATTTTTAATGATGATCATCAATTATCTATCTGTGTATTCATGAATTATTAGATTCGTTAAACAGTAATAGATAAAGAGGTGCCCACTCATTGTAAAGACATATTCGAAAGGCATTGCGTTATTAAAGTATATTTCTGTGAAATTCATTTAATTTTTCTGTTTCTTTTCTCTTCACACACGTATTCATGATATTTATTTCAATCCTTTTTTCATAAATAAAAAATAATAAAAATATTTTTTTTTTCTTTATTTATTTTCAAACATTATTTGTGTTGACTTGACTTCTTAAAAAATAATGTCATGTTCGTCTCTCAACTAATATTCACACTCAAAAATAATCCACAGCAAGAGACAAATAACGTCTTATTGTCAAAGATTCAATATTACATTGGCAGCATTTGAATTCAGTCGAGTTGCATTATTGTCATGAATATTGATGATTATCTAGCAAAAGTAGAAAAAAAATCATATTTATATATTGAGAAAATACTGTGCAGATATTTTCGCCCCAAGTCAAAATAGATTGCAAACACTAGTGAATTTCTCATGCTTGACCATTTTTATACACATTAAAAGCAATGTCAGAATCAGGATTTATTGTACTATTTACTTTTTATCTTCATATTACCACTATGAATAAGAGTCACTAAGATGAAAAAAATTCAAAGAGAATGAACCCTAAGAAGAAAAGAAAGATCTCTTGACCGAAGTTACGCTTCACCTTGTAGTATTGTATGAAAAATTGATATGTTATAGTGGAAATCTGCTGCAAAATCGTGTTTCTTAGTTGGATTTGGTCTTATATTAGTTCACTTCGATCAAATAATCTCAGACGATTTAATAGTATCATGTGGTATCCAATCTAACCCTGTATTATTTAAATCATATCGTTTTTTTATCAAAAAACTTCACAAGATCAGCTCCAGCAATTTCACCATCGATCACATAAATTAAAGGTTTTTAAATGAGAAAATGATAGATTATGGCTTTATTCTCACAAGAATACATAACTAAAAAATAGTACGAAATGATTTGTCAAACTTAAGGGCGTGGGTATCAAAGAAGAAGAGAAACACACACTCGCACATATATACATCGAAAATGATATGGTAAGATTGAATAGTAAGACGAATTAATTTCGAGGAATAATATGACTTACCATCTTTAGGTTCGGTCGATTTGTATAGACTTCTTTGTATTTCCATGTGCAACCTATCGGTGATCGTATCGAGTATTTTCGCGATTCTTCATTAATGACTCCCTTAGTTCGTATGATCTTTATATAGTAAAATACAACCTTTATAATAGCCGGAACAAAACATAAAATTGCAAGTCCAGGAGTCGAAAAGAACTTTGCATAATCATAATCCGAAAGCACTAGTATAAAAATCAGAGGGGTCATTAAAATGATTGTAATAACAGTGGTTAGAAAACAAATAGTAATATAATAACTCGGCGACTTGACTACACGATTGATATTAGAGATAGATTTCTGATATTCATCTTCGGTAATAATACCATTTAAACGATCAGGATAGTCTGTTCCAAACTGGTCGCCTGTTTTCATTATAACGATTGAGTTAGGATTAACAGGTACATAGGCCATTTTCGATAGAGATCAAAACCAACATTTTGTCATTAATAACTCTAAAATATCTAGATTAGAGATAGCGATTGTGAAAAACTTCAATCACATCAACATGATCAACAAAGATTTTAGACTGTATTTAATATTTTTAACAACAAAATCTAGTATAAATGCTTACGTAAAACATTGGACACTGTTTTCTTTGATAGAAAAATAAAAAATCTGTCTCATAATAGTAACAGAAAATACTACTGAAAGATAATAAAAATTTTTAGAAAAAGCCATTCCGATCGTTTTACCGTGTTAGAGTTGCGATAAAGAAAAAGACTATGAAGATCAAGCGAGCAATGTCATTTATTGTTGCTATGACTTTATCATCAAATAATCTAATATGATGTCTCCTTCTTCTTTTCCACTCTACTTCCGTATCAATACAATATAGGAAAGAATAAATCTATGACTTCATCATCAATCATATAGCTTGATTTCTGTTCTGTTTATTACAAGAACGTTTTTTCTTCGATAAGAAATTGAATGAAAAAAAAGGCAGAAAAGTAAGTATATATTTTTCTTGCGTATTAGTTATATCAACATAAATCAGTATCAATCAGAGTAGTCAGCAACAGATCTATTTTTCCGTTTTGGGTGTGAGTGTAGATGTCTTTTCTTTTACCTCATATTCAAATCCAAACCCATCCTCTAAGCATGTTTCTTGATGTGATCGAGGACTTTCATCGAATGTTTAAAACTTTCTTGAAAATACTCGATTTTGCAATAAAGAATAAAAATTATGTGTATAATCAATATTTTCCTATGAAAAAAACGCGACTTTTGACGCTCTATAAAACTATATGGAGTGTTTTTTGGTGTCAAAAATTTTATAAATAAAAATAAAATCATAGTGAATAAGTTTTAACATATTGATTCTTTTAAACAAAGCTATAAGAATCGACGAAGTATCACAAGAAAATATTATCGATAGTAAAAGATGCCATCGTCATCAATCAAATTTGTAAATACGTCAGATCTCATTTGTCACATGAAATTGGTAACCTACGTATTATTTTTTTTTGTTTTAGCAAAAATGACAGATAAAGTTGACAGGCGAGATAAATATCATTATCATCATATGCAATATCATGAAAATAAAAATAATCCTGAGATTTCTAATCAGAATTAAGTTCATTGTAGTTAGCTTTGTTTTTAATAAATGACTTATTTTATATAATATGAAAATTTTTGATCTTGGATGATGACTCTCGATCATTTTAAGACGACAAAAACATATATATATTCTCTCGACTATAATGAAGGTGATACGAAAATGCGTTTGTGTGTCTATCTGTGCCATAGTCAAAGATCAAAAAAACATATAATTAGTTATAAAACTTGATCAATAGTTTTCGAAGTCGAGGAATGCGAACCTGAGGTTAGTTTTCGTTATAAACTTTTTTAAGATTAATTTTTTTCCACAAAGGCCAGATTATTTGATAAAAACTCAAAAAGGTTAAAAGAATCTCAAAAATTAAAAAAAGAATTTGCCACAAGAAGATTATTTTTTCATAAAAAATTGAAAGAATGAAGTTATCATGAAAAGTTCAAAAGAACATATGTGGAGTTTTTTTATGAAGTACAATTTTTGAAGCATGAAAAGCTGACAGTGAATAAGTAGCTTTCACTGTCAGGAAGCGGCTGATGGAGATCTAGAGTGGGGCATGGGTGTGGTGTGTCGCTTGACAATGTAAACCCAAATCCACCCACACCCTCAACAATTCCTGAAAATCGATCATCATAAATAATTAACATTACAACTGATAGTGAATAGTCAGATAGAATCGACTTGAACTATTCTCTCTAAAAATAATTATGACCATCGTTTTTCAAAAACAAAATAATATGACCAATAAATAAATAAAAATCTTGTATCATACTCATCATTTTAATACATCAGTCGTAAAAGATGAAAGAAAAATTTTTGAAGAAGTTTAACTTTATTTTATATAAAGCAGCAATGAGTTAATACATAAAAAAATGAAAAGAAACTAACAGTAAAAAATAAAATTATATTTTTGTAAGTTTTTCTAAAAATTCTTTGTTCAAAAGTTTTATTTTTATTTTTGAGTTCCTTTGAACTTAAATCACCAAGACCAAATTCTTCTATTGCATTATTTACTTTGCCAAAGAACTCATTGGACCAAATGCAATAGTCTCCATATAAAGCTTTTCTTTCCTATAAAGATAAAATTATTATCAAAATTCATGTTGGTATTTATGATAAGCGAGTCTTCGGACAAGCGTCACTTGTTAATAATTCTTTGATTAACATTGTGTTGTTGTTGCTTCTCTCCTGTGTGAATCTTATTTGGGTTCGTATTCATCAATATTCGAGTATCACGAGGTATTCTACCCTAAAGGTATTGGATTCGGATTATCCTTTTGGATGTGCAGTTTTCGATCCAGACCATCAGGTCTGTCATAAGTCTTCGAACGGAATCTTTCTAATCTTACGTTTAACCTTCTCTTGGCATACCGTGCAATTGTTTGTTTCACCGATGAAAATTGATTGATATAAAAGTATTCACCAAATGGAATCCATATAGCTAGTTCTTTCTTTTGACATAGATATAATTTGTAAGTTCCATGATCAGTTGAAACTACTACTTAAGTCGCTATCCATTTGTGGCTTACGGGCGAATTCGATTTCATTTCAGGAAAAGATGAAGAAGTAATGATCTGTGCTAATTCTTTATTGATCATTGCAGGAAGAGGAGTGAGTGCTGGAATGTAAACACCAGTAGTGCAGCTACTTGATGAGGATTCGATGATTATGTGGTTGTCCATAGAGGTAACAAGGTATCTTCAAGGTTGCGTTGGACCATTTTCCATTCTTCTAAATGTTTTGCTCCAGCAGCTGCTTTTTCTAATACATTCATAGTTTTATCATAATCTGCATCGTCACAATGGTGAACTGTACTTTGGAAAAAGTGTTCTTTTCGATGCCGTGAGCAATTGTGAAATCGTTGTTCCAGTTGTATCTATTCATCAGGATTGATTGTGCCATATATTTTTTTTACTAATAATTGTTTAAACTTATTAAAATCTGTTTGCTTGTCAGTTACATTGCTTCGTATTATGTATTATTTATCATTTTATTGATTTGCTTATTCATATCGTTGTGAAAAGCTTTTTCTGCTGCACTCACGTTATCTTTAAACTCTCTTACGAGATTTTTCATCACTTCTTTTCGGTCACCAGGAGGTAAGTTTGTGATGTTGTCTAATCTTTCTTGAACCTTATTTTGGAATACGGCTTTGCCAATTTCGTTGTATCTTTCTGGAGAAATACCAGTTTTATTGTCGACTTTAAGTCCATCAGAAGTACAAGTAACTACGCTGCCAGTTTAGTAGATCAAATCAAAAAATTGTGTACGATTTTCTTGAGATTTTGCACATGTACGCTTTTCTATCAGAGGACTGATGTTGTTTTAACATACGTGAGATTCTCTGTTTGGCGTCTTTGGACTAAAAAAAGCTGCTATTCACTATTTTAATCTTGAAAAATGCTTACCTTAAGATTTTCTTTGATTTGATTCAGGTATTGTAATTGTTCTGATTCAAAAACACCTTGAATAATTATTCACTTAGTTAAGACATTGATAGTAATCTAGCCATCTTGAGGATGTGGGTGTGGATGAGAAATTAAGACTCAATCACGCTCAGACCCAAACCATCCTCGCCCATCTATATATTAAAATGACGATATTCCACTTATTAATTGTATTTTTTTCTTTCACTTCAATCCTACTTTACAGACACATATTTAGAAAGAAGTATTCATAACGAAAATACATCACTTTGTCTCTATAAAAAGGCAATTCTTACAGTGGATGATAATGCGAGAATATTTGCAGTCATTATATTTATTGCTTGTAGTTAATAGTGGTAATGACGATTTCGAATGATGCTGTCAGGCGAGATGAACGTGTACTTAATCGAATATAGTTAGTTCATATAGACTGACGCATCTTATTAACAGTGGCCAACGGACGTTGTTCACAATATTGTCAGTCAAATAGCGATTTGTTGTTCCTATTTTTTTTCTTTTGCTTATCTATTGAACAAGCAAGAGGAATGAACTCAACTTCACAATCACCTTCTATGTGTCGATTTCTGCTCGCATCGATGTTATTAACCTTGTTCTCTTTCTATTTCCTTTTCTTTTGTTAGATATCTTAATATCGTCGTTTTTGTTTTTGTATCGCCTAAATAAAATTGTAGAAAACCATAAATTTATATTTATTTTTAATTTAACTATATTTTCAACTTACAATATTCGTAAAACTTAAATCTATTTTTTTACTAAAGTCTGTTGAGCTTTATCAAAAGATTCATTATTGATGGATACCCAGGACGATTATTCCGACTATCGAAAACAGGTGTGGGTGAAGGTAAAAAACTAACACTCAACTAAACCCACACCCACCCTGAAGCCTCCAAATCAGCTAATCGACCACTGATAGAGTCCATTAATTCAAGGATTTCTTGATCGAAGTTCAAATCCACCTATATGACAGTAAGCTAACTTGTGTTGTTAATGTTGGTGCCAGTATTTCATGTGGTCCACTACGACCTAAAAAACCAATAACATCTTGTGTGTTCTGGTGTGACATTGACATATCTCTTTTGGAAAACA